TTGCAAAATTTGGATCATTAATGGGCATGATAAATAAGAAAAAGAAATTAGATAAATACCTTAGAATTAAATTTGTACTTGACTGCGCTAAAGGAATTCAATATCTTCATACTAATGGTATTATGCATAGGGATATTAAGACTGATAATGTATTAGTTTTTTCAGTTGATAAAGGTATTCCAGTTAATGCTAAGTTAACAGACTTTGGATCTTCAAGAAATGTTAATATGATGAGGAGTAATATGACATTTACAAAGGGTATTGGAACACCAATGTATATGGCACCAGAAGTTCTTGACCAATCAAAATATTCTGAAAAAGCTGATGTATTTTCATTTGCTATCGTAATGTATGAAACCTTTATTTGGGGTGCACCATATCCTAAAGACATTTTCCCATTTCCATGGAATATTGCAGAATTTATTTCTCAGGGGAATAGAAGGTCTCAGACAAAAGATATGCCTGATTGGTATTTCAAAATTGTAAGTATGGGGTGGGACCAACAACCATTGAATAGACCAAAGATTGATAAAGTCGTTGAAATGATTGAACAAAATTACAGTGAAAAACTTCAATAATTTTTTATTTCTTCACACAACTTTTTTAATACATTTAATTTTTGACTTTTATTCTTGTTGTGTTTCACATTCAACACCTGAGTCATCAGAAATATTGTCAGGAAATTCAAATTCTTCTGAAACAGTAAAGATTTGTTTCAGTAGTCCAAGACAAGAAAATTGTTTCTTTGTTAGAACGTTACATCTTTCTTCAGTAATACTTTTTGATGAAAAGAACTCTTTACTTTTTGTAGTTAATCCATGAGACCAATATAGTGTTCCTGAAAATGAAATAATACTGATTAAAAAAATAAATATTAGTTGAATTAAAACAGAATAATTTTCTATTGTTTTAATATTTTACTTTCCATATAAATTTAATAAAAACAACAAACTCCCTTCAATAATAAATATAGTAAAAGGGTCCATCAAGGAGCCAGTATAAGAATAAAAAGCTGATAATATAATTGATGCAGTTACTATAGCAGTTAGATAAGAAATATAACGATTTTTAGAAATAAGGTACACAGACATTCCAATTGTCAATTTTGGAGAAAAGACATTTAAAAAGATATAAAAAAATCCTTTTTGTTCTGCCCATTGACAAAAATTAGGATGCATTTTTGAAGCAATGATATGTATTTTTCTAACTAGTTTATTTAACACAAAAGATATACCTATTCCAATTACTGTTCCAACTACATTAATTATAGCACCTATCCCTGCTCCAAGACAATACCCACTTAACACTTGGTGGAAAGATAAAGGAAAACATAAAATAACCGCAATAATATTAAAACACAAAAATGATGGAAGTGAAATAGAGTAACGGTTTTGTGTTTTCAGACCGTCTAGCACATGAACAATTTCATTCGTTCTGTTTTTGTTTGAAAATAAAATAATACCAACAATTGAACAAATGAAACTCACCAATAGAAACTTTATAATTTTGAGTGTTAGTAAAGACACTTTTTTGTTTGAAACAAAAGCAAGCATTGTAGCACTAAATGAATAAGGTGATAGTAGTTTATGGAAGTGAAAGAACTAACAAGAACTCGTAAAAATAAATAATAAGGGAAGAAACTTTAAAATTATAATAATTAATTTGGTTTAAAAAAAAAGAAAAAACAGTTAGGGTAAAACTAATAATTTACTTGGATAGTCAATATGTCTAAAGTTATCGTTATTGATTGCCATGGACATGTTCTTGGTCGTGTAGCTTCAGTTGTTGCAAAGAATCTTCTTCTTGGAAAAAAAATTGTTCTTATTAGATGTGAAGATCTCCAAGTATGTGGAACACTTAAAATGAGATTAGTTCAATGGGAACTTTATCAAAGAAAGAGAGTTAATACTAACCCAACTCGTGGTGCTTTCCATCATCGTTCACCAGCTGATATGGTTCGTAAAGCTGTTAGAGGAATGCTTCCAAAGAATAATTATAGAGGAAAACTTGCTCTTAAGAATTTGAAATGTTTTGAAGGATGCCCAGCACCATATGACAAAATGAAGAAATCATCAATTCCAGTTGCAGCAGCAATTTATTCATTTAATCCAACAAGAAAGAGAACTCTTCTTGGAGAACTTGGAACTGCTGTTGGATGGAAATACGCTGATGTTGTTGCTAAAAATGAAACAGAAAGAAAAGAAAAAGCTAGTAAATGGTATGCTGCTAAACAATTAAAACAAAAGGCTAT